TGTTGAGGTCCCAGGTACTATTAATGCTACATGAACTAGTTCTCCAGAGTTTATATTCAGTCTCAACTGATGCATTTGCAACTAGATGCACCACCTAGATAAACTCAGAATAATTTCAGAGCCTCTAAGGGCCTGCAACAGGACATCTGATTTACTTCAGAGTTGTGGGAGGCTCCTGATTTACCCTGTAGGAGCTTTACATTTTGCAAATTGGCTTGCAACTCAGTTCAGGGTGCTGCACACACCAAACTTTGCTTTTTAGTATTTCAACATAATTACTGCTTCTTTCAAACATGAAATAAAGTGCTAATATTGAACTTGGGGTATTAAATATAACAAAATGTCATTTTGCTCATTTCTCATTCCTACGATGGTTTATGGCAGCAGGCACCACTCTTCTCCAAGAGGATCTTTTCTCCTTCTTATCTCACTGGGCAACAGTAACTACTTATGGAGACAACAAGAGAATTCTCTTCATCTGCAGTAGTAAATTACAGCAAGGCATAAACGTAGCAGAAGCATCCCTTAAAAATGCAAATGAATACTATTTAGATTAAAACAATTTTTAACTAACACACAAGATCAGATGTGACTATAGCATGAAGATTGTGATGCCATTTCCTCATCCTCTTTAAAACATTCCAGGTCTCCATTGTAACAGCATGTAACAGCATATAACAGTGAAAACATGAACATGACATCTGTTTAGCAGCCATAATCTCATCAATTTCATCCAATTTGAGTAAAAATCAAGTCACATTTACAACCTTAAAATCAAAACCTGAAGTAGCAGACAATTTATTTTATGGTACTACAGATAAAGTTAGACACTACATACGGATTCCAGTGTTCTTTGGAGATCTTGTATAAACTGCCAAACATGATTGGTAGAATTTTATCAATGTTCTCCTCAATCAGGCTGAGAATATATTCATTATTCCAGAAATACAAAGCTCTTTCTGCAACCTGAAATACAAAGTTAGGGGTCAACAGCCACATAATAAAATTACTACAAGTTTTGGGTTTTTAATATTTTTTTTTTTACCTGAAAATGTGAGCTTGACACACACTTGGATATTTGCTTAAATAAAGGCTCTTCTATTTTTTTGAATTGTGTCGGTTCTATTACATCTAAGATTTCTTCAATTTCACCTAAAAACATTACCTGTTTGTAGAAGAGAAATATATCAAAAAGTATGAGAATGTTTTATATCACCACTGCAATGAGAAAGAAAATACAGTTTATGCATCACTCATGAATCCTGCAAAGTGCACTCTATGTCATCACAGTGCATTAGACAGCCACGGACTTTCTGCAGCCTGAAAGGAGTCAATCATCCGCTTCAGCTACCAGGTTACTGCTCTCATCTTGGATTTCTTCTTTCATGTAATTGCTCTAAACACTTCACAGAGCTGCTTCTGCAGAATATGGGGCTTGTGTTCCCCCCCCAGTTAAAAAAAAACACTAGAGCATTTTACTTCTTCAAGAATGGCTGCAGAGATTACCATGATCTGAGATCTCCAGAGGAGTTTCTGAAGTGATAAACAGTTAATTCCTGTTTTAAATTAGAACCAGCAGAACATCAGGTAGGTGGCACAGAAAAATTTAACACCATTCACACAGACAGGGACAACAGTGTTAGGGGGCCCCGCTTGTAAAGAGCCTGTTTGGGGTGGGATCTGGTGTCATAAGTCATACCCCTGACTTTTAAACTCATTTTAACTACAGAGTAGAAACCAGAAAAAAAGATTCCCAAAACCATGTAAAGTTATCTTCACACTACAGAAACCCCATGTATGTATGCTTTACCAGACTGCATCTCAAATGCTAAGTCTGTGCCACATTGCAGATGATCATCTCCAACCTGGTCTTGTGTCTACCAAAATACTTCTCACCTCAAAAGAATTGTTTCTCTAGACAACATTTTAATTAGAAGGCAATTTTAATACAGCTTTAACACAGTGAAACCAGAGTAAGAACAGACATACTAAACAATTGCATTGAGTTGCATGACAAGGATGAGCACTTCAAGAAGCTTCAAGAACTGCAAGTTTTCTGCAGGATCTCTGGAAAAGCACAGGAGAGACAAGGTAGGTGCATGAACCTGCCACACTACATTTGCCACATCACAGCAGACAACAGAAACAAAAGACAAAACCAACCTCTTTCTGACTGCAAGTTTTTGGCCAAAATTTGAGCAGTCCTCTGATTACCTATATTAAAAACACAAACTAGTTAAATGTAAAACAAGTTTCTATTACATATTTGATAAAATAATTTTTAAAGAAGTATTAGTTTACTTTTCCTCATCTAGAGGTTCAATGAAAACTGAATACAGCTCAATGTGGTTCCACTGAAAATAAATACTGTTCTGTCTCACTTATTTATCTTGTTGAGGTTATCTGGGTAATTTAGACCCTTACCACTTCACCATAAGCCTTTGATTATCCATTCACACTCTGCTCCCATCCCAGTACATGCATTAATCAATTGGATGCTGACAGCATCAAAGCATCACAAAATGAAGTTAACTTTTCTGGAGCTAGACTGCCCAGAATGTTTTTTATCTTTTATTCATCCATGTTTTGGGGAACACCTGTCTTGGCATCTGGGTTTGAAGCCCAAGAGCCAGTTGTACATGCTGACTGCACAAACAGGGCTTTACAGAGGAGCTGTAGCCTCCACACCTTCCTTTTTTTTTAATTCTAGAACTTGAAATGTTAGAGACTGGAAACTAAACAGAAAGGATGTAAGTTCACAGAGAAAATATATTCTGGTATCTACACTGGAAGCTGTCTTACACAAGAGTGGGAAAAACCTTTGGGAAACTCAGAAAGTACAGTCTGCAGCAGCAACGGGGGGAATTCACAACAGACAGAAACTGGAGGCCTGCTTCCTAAATACTAATATCTGACATAGCATCTACGTACAAAATTAATATTAGCTAAAAGAAAAAGAGAAGCTGCAACTATGTTTCAAAGGCAAAAACATTCTCAGAGTCTTCCAGGCTGTCATTCTGAAGAAGGGACTTCTGCTTTTATGACACAAGAGCATCCAATTGATCATATTCAACTCAAACTTACTCGACTATTTGAACACCTTCCATGTTTGGGTTTTGCCATGTTGGTTCCCCCCCCTCAAGTTCCCAGATGGGTGTTTTATTCACAACTACATGTACTATCAAAAGTGACTTTCAAAGAAAAACCTAGTATGATTTTAAGTGCCCACAAGTCTTTATCCTAGGATACTCACATACCCTGCTACTACCAAACTGAACATCACTTCAATGACACTGAGCAAACAGAAACCTTGGGCAGCTGGGCAGCTGGCCCAATGCTGAAACTCACAGAAACTAAGAAACTTCAAGGGAAGAACAGATTCCTCATGGAGCCTTGACCACACAGCTCTACCTAGCTGTCTCACAGGCAGACAACTGAAATACCAATGCCAGCTTCTGACACCTGATGAAGGAGCAGGTGGCCTGGGCCAGCCCACACATGACTTTGCTACCTGCCTGAACTGCTCAGCTCATTCTGACCCAGACTCCTTGCTGCCTCCATGGGCAGAGCAGAAGAGCTGGGGCAGTCAGCAGGGTGTGTTTGGGGCAAGAAAAATTTCACTGCAAATACCTGATCTGGCAGTCCTTTGTTCACTTGCTTCTCCCCACTCTCAAGGAGTCAGCTTTACACAAATTAATATTTGTTTCTCTAGATTCATACAGTAGTCTATGTAAATACACTTTAAATCAAGGATTGTTTTCTGTGTATTAGCTTGTAAATGAATGACTCAAGTTATATACTTGGAGATTTTGTATTTTTAAAGGACAAACTCGAGTCTTTACAGATGTAGTAACAGCTCATTCTGCCAACACCTTTCCCATCCCCCACACCAATGCAAGTAAGACAAAAAAATTCAGACAAGCCAAAGAACAGCTGTGAGAACCCACCACACACCCCTAACTGGAGCATGAATTTACTGGTCTTGAAAGCATAAAACTGAGTTAGCTGGAAGAGTTCAGTTTCCAGCGTTTGTTACAATAAAACTCTTGAGTACACTTCAGTCCAGAGACTCATTCTCAACTCAATAAAGACATGACACGTTCCCAGTAAGACAGTCCAGACCTCCACGTGACACTTATGCCCCTCTCCTCAGAGAGAGAATCAGTTTCCAGCTTAACTACGTTTTCATATTAAAAGGTTAGTACATGCACATTTATGTTCAAAAATTTTAGTCAAAGAAATACTCAATATGAATGCAGGTCTGAAATCTTGCTGCTCTTACTACACAAAACTCTTTAAGGCCAATATTCTACACAATTCCCATAAGAGTAACTTTCAACAGTAGGCACCTGCTAGAAAACTTCCCCTACATAGAAGGACTCGCGTGTTTAGCCTGATGTGCTCAATGTCAGGACCACTGTGCTCCCAGGGCTAGGGAACACACTGCTCTTGTCAGCTCTGCACACATCAGGGCTGACCTAAGGCAGACTATCCTAGTTACGAGAGCTCCGATTGAATGTCCTCTGAACTGACCCTGAGGGACAATTCCTGCCAGAAAAATAACTCATGAAGACAGGCTTCTGATGGAGTTCTTAAAATATTACTTGGCCTAAAGTAAGAAAAGAAAAATCAAATGCTATCTCATCAGTTGCCCCAAATTTTAACATTAGCTTTTCAATCATTTCAGAAAGTTTCTTAAAGCTTTGCTTTTTATCATCTAACTTTTACTCCTTTATTAAGTCAATTTTACTATACACTCAGAGTAATGGCCAAAGCAAGCACGGGCAGTGACTCTGCAGTGAGTTCTTGAATCTTCTCCATTCTGCATTCATCTTTACTAATTAAGATGCAACCAGAACTGCAAGTACCATGGTCCATGTGAAGTCTCAGAATTGCAGTATGGCACTCCTACTTCAAAAGCCCTGCAGTTTTCACTTCAAGTTTGAGCTTAGATCCTGAATCACAGTTCTGTAAGTTTGTATCAGGAAGTTCTGACTTTGTTGTATTGGCACTTCACTCAATCTCATGGGTTTTTATGTAGTACTATATACATTTTCTGCTCACATGTCAACTTCAACAGAACAGCCTGGATTGTTTCATTGTTTGGCTTGAGGAACAAGGCATACACAGTTGTTTCCTCTAGGAAACCAAGTAAGTTTAGGGACTAGCATAGCTGGCAACACTGCAGTCCAGGGAGAAATAAGATGCTTCAGGCAGACAAGGCCAAGTTATAGACATCCAGACCAAGCACCTTTCACTACCTACAGAACAACTTCAGTGGCGGTGCAGAAAGCAGCTGCCACTGAAAGACCAGTGAAGATCCACGTTGTTTCCACAAAGCTGCTTATCTTTTTTTCTTTATAGAAAAACGTAGATTTTGCATAAGCTCTTCACTCTTCTGTCATAAACAGGGATAAAGTATCTAAATAGCAACAAACCCCTAACAGAAAGATTTCTGACCATGCAGCTAGTCATTCTGTTCTAGCTGGTGTGACATCAGCCTGTGTCCCCATGAGCTGCTGTGCTGCCCTGAGCCTGCATTCTCCTTTGTGGCCGTGGCCAAAGCCCTTGCATGAAGTGCTGCAAACCCCTTTTTAGCTGAGCTGTCAATATGTATCATAGGAGACTCAGTCTGGCAAGAGCCACTGAAGCCTGAAGCACCTGCACTACAACTGCCAAGAGGCACCCCAGTAACTGAAGAGAGAGAACTAACATTGCATTTGGAATTTCAGAGTTCTGTCTAAATAAAGTCTTATTCTTCTTTCCAACTTTTATTTCAGGACTGTTTATTCCCTAAAATATTTCAGCTTTATGCAGTGGCACAAACCATCAGCATCAAAACTATTGACATTTTAGTTTCAACCAGGAGGGAATACACTTGTACAATACTTTCTCATGTGATTAATGTGCATGGTATCAGTAGTTCAAATTTTTATTTAAGCTTATGCTCCATCTTGGTCACAGGTTAAGAGATAACTTCCCTTTCAAACCCAGAATTTTCTTAACAAGTGTTCTAGATTTAAAAATATTTCTCCGTTTGTGGAAAAAACCCCAAACAACAAAACCCCAAACAACAAAACCCCATGCCTATGAACCCAGATAGCACAGCTATACAATTGTAAGAAGTTACACTGAAACATTAGCTGACATTAAAACCAGAAAAACATTGAACTGAGAAACACTTACAGGCTCTGTTAAAGTTGTATCTTTTTCCAGGAACTGTACAACACAATAGGCAAGCTAGAATGCAAAGTCATATGATTATTTTAACAGACACTGCAGCTTAACATAACTAGTACAAGCTGTAATTGAAGCACTTCAGACTGGGAGGCAAGCAAAAACCCAACCAGAAACACCTCTACATGGACATTTAAAACTCTTCCTAACTAAAGAAAATGGCATTTACAGCAGCAAGATGTACAGGCCTGCTCTATATTACAAAAACACCCTGCATAGCAAAAATCTTGATCTTTTTTCATCCTAGAAGAAAATGACTTTTAAGCTTATTTCCCTAACTCAGAACCAGTATCCAAGCAGGTTTTTCTCAACATTGATTCTTGTATTAGCATTACAAAGCTATTGTTTTCAAATACCTATATTGGGGTAAAAAAAGCAATACTTTCATTAAAAACCCAAAGTTTTAAACCAGGTTTGATAGAGCAGACACTACTGAAACCCTAGATATCTACAGCACACAACACTCATCGATTTGGTTACAGGTGAAATCACAGGAACATGTCATGTGGCCACAGGAGACCAGGCAGCTCCTGGTCAGCTGTGTCTCCTGTTCCTGGCCACAGCCACAAGTGCCTGTGGGAGTGCACAGGAGGCAGAGGAAGCATAAGGAGATTAAGTCACCAGCACGCTCTCCCAGTGTGATGTGATGTGTGTCCAGGGGTCTTGTCAGGGCAAAGTGCAATATTATATCTTCTGTAATTACTTATAATTTAATTACTAATACACAGTAAAGTGTTTGAACAACCATGCCTGTGCCCAGTACAGAAACCACATAGTAACCCTATTACTAAAATAGTTACAACCCTAGATTCTGTTAAGACTCATTTTAAGAAGTCACAGTATTTTTCATCTCACAATACAAAGCAAAGATGAATTATTTTCATGTATTACAAGTACATTGCAGTATTTAGGAGGTTTGAATTCAAGCATTTAAAAAAAAACAAACAAACCACAAAAAAAAAAAAAAAAAAAAAAACAAAAAAACCAAAAAAAAAAGAGAATGGTAACGTTACCCCAAAGCAGATAATTACAATCCTGCAGTTACAGCAGGTCTATTTTCTTTTACCCTTAGGCTAAGGATGTATAGGTGTAGAATCAAAAAATAAATGTCATACATTAATCTCATAACATCCCACTGTATAAATTGTATAGTAAATCTTTATTGTTCAAACACACAGACAAGCTTCACTCTGCTTTAAGGCTTTGAACTTTGAAGTGTACGCTAGGCTTGCACTGTAGCAACAACAGAACCAGGCCACTGCTGAGTGTAACACAGATGTAATGCTGCTTCACACCCCCGGGGTGACAGGACCCAGACACAGTGCTGAAACCCCACAGGGAACCAGTGGTTTATGAAGGAACAGATGAGCAGCCTGGCCAGTAAACCAAATGCTGCAGGTACAGAGGTAGCACAGAGTACAGCTGAATTAAGAAGCTACAAATGACAAATCATTGAATTAAACTTTATATGAGAATTAGGAATTAACTGAGCTGTTGACTTGATCCCAATTGTAGATTATATAGTCATAATGATTTCACTTTAATTAGAAAGTAATTTCCTTGTATCTGTAGTCTCTAAGGAGCTATTTTAGTGAGCTAAGTTAACAAAGCCATTTTCTACTTAGCCAGAGCAGAATTACTTGCAAGTTTCCATCAAATGTATTCAGTACTCAAGTGCCTTATGCCTGGCAAGGATACACAATGCTCCTCAAATACACTCTGTATAAACACTCAGGATTTTAGGAATTCAAGTCAAATGCAGAACTGTGGCATTCTGACAGCATGTCATGGATCTACATAACTTCTAGTGGATCTATAGAGATACGAGCCACTTCTGCCATTTACCTCCAACATTCTTCTCACCACCCCCATCACTGGTATGGTTTTAGAAATTAAAATCACTTCTGAAATCAGTACCTGGTCATACTCAAGGTTCCTTTATACACAGCATTTAGGTTTCATAAAGGAAGTGGTAACAGCACAAGGTCCTGGGATTAATGAGGCTTAAAGTGTGACAAGACTAGCAAGCAAAAAAGCTTTCCACTCCAGCTGACCTGACATTGACTTGCCTTATGTTCTTTCACTTGTAATATTTGTAAAATATTATATCAAAATTCACATTTAGACATAAGATTTGTAAGATCTTTAAAAAAAACCAGCGACTGAATTTGCAAATATTTTGGAATATTGATATTATAAAACATACTGCTTTAAGTTTCATTAATTTCAAATGCAAATACAAAAAAAAAATCACTCTTAAAAATAGGCAGAAGCTTACCTGTGCATGAAACAAAGCTAATCCCTTTGCAGTATGCATGGGAATCAGAACTTTCATAAGGAACTGTTTGTGTTCTGCTTTCAGTGGCAGTGCAAAACCATTGATAATACTGAAAACATGAATAAGCAGGATTTATTTTTATTGAAAAATATTATTCCTCACAAGTAAATAATTTCTGTAAATTCAAGAGACACTTGATTTCTGTTTCTGTTTCTAAATCTGATTACTTTGAAGCCATGCAATAGCTCTACACGTACGCACAACCTTTGAAGTGTTGGTATCATGCAAGTTTAGACTCTGGGTAAGCCTACCAAAGAACCATAGTGTAAGTCAAATAATACTGATCAGAACTTAAGTATTTTCATCATGACCTCCATTAAGTAAGATCATATACAAGAAGTCTTACTAATTGTAAGGCTTAGACAGGTGCATCAGGAAAGTGATCCATTTCACCCACAATCACTAGCAACTTGCAGAGAAAAGAAAACGGATGGCATACAAGTTTGAAATATTTTAATAATGCAGCTTGAACATTTGTTTTGAGATTGTTGAAAAAGCCTTCCCTCCAAAAAACAAAGTTAAAAATTTGTCTCACTGATTCAGTAATCTTGTTTTTAGGATTTGATGAGACAGAGCAGACAAAAGTCCTTCAGGAAGTGGTTGGGGTTCCCCCCCTGGCCCCTTACATTTTAGATAAATCTGAGAAAATAATGGTATCCCTTTCATCTGATCATTTGATTTTTATGAAAATTTGTTCCACAATAGTTCCACAATATTTGAATTTTCAGTTAGACCAGTAATATTTATAAAGTTTTCTACTGTAAAATATATATGACTGTTTTGGAAAAAAAATAAAATATTACCTCAGAAAATTTCAAAGTTAAAAATTACATCAGTGAAATAATGAAAAAACCACCACCAAAACAAAACTCTAGGAGTTAAAGCAAATTAAATGAATGCAAATTATAGAAAGCCAGCCTTACGAAGACTAAAGCATTTCATTCAGCATGAGGGCAAAAGTTAACATTCTTTTTCTGAACGAAAGAAGTCATCTATCAGGTAGAAGACAAACAAGAATAGATACTCCTGACAAACCAGGACACTTAAAGAAATATTTTGCCAGTCATCTTTAAAACCTGCACCAAAAGAGATTATACTCTATATCCTAATTTGATATTCACATGGTAACCCAGACAGTATTAGATTGTATCAGTGAGTACACTTCATCACTCATTACTCTAATAATTCTTTCCCTCATCCATTCCCAAAAGAAGAAAGCTGAAGCAAAAACCCCCAGTAACATTTGTATTTTTTCTGTCAGATCAAACTTACCTTCCTAATATCTCCAGAAGTTCAGCAACACCATTGAAGTGCTCTGTTTCATATATAAACCTGTTATGAAAGAAGACAGCCACCAAGAGTCAAAAGAGAGGATCAAGGACTCCAGAGGAAAACACCCTTAATAAGCTTCAACTATTTGAAAGCCAGATCACAGACCAAAACCAGGTCTTTTATTTGAAGAGTAAATCACTGCAGATCCAGACCATGAAGGCAAGATAAAGTGTTCCTTAACCCAGTCTCTCTCACACACAGAGCCTACCTGAGGAAGATGTTGTTAATCTGCTTCCTGATGAACGCCCTTAAACCGAGGAATTTCCCATAGATTCGATGCAGAACTGTCTTTAGGAAATCACGTTCTCGTGGGTCTTCACTGTCAAAGAGCTCCAACAGCTTGAAAAATTAAATTGAAGTGTATTACTTAGAAATACTTAAAATTCTGTTATGTAATTGATTTGAGTTTTAGCTTTAATTTGCAAGTTTACATTAGAAAAATGAGAATCAGTTTAACCAAAAATTTGTTACATTTTCAAAATTAGATTAATAAAGCTGAGTATTTCTTAAAAACTAAACCCAGCAGCTTAATACCCTTCAAAAGTCTGTATACAAAAGACATCAAAGCCATTCCAACAACTATCACAATAACAAAATTAAAATGAAACTGAAAGAATGAGATTATCAAACCATAGATAGGTAAGTGGCTTATACTTGGGTCTTTAGGAAATCAGAATAAATCAAATCTTTGTCAGGTATTTACAGTTTTGTAATTAAAATCCTGTACTGCCCATGTCTAAAAGCTACTTGTGTCTTGAAGGTTAAGGAAAAGCATTCCTATATAAGAAATTTCACAATTAAGGATTTAATACGGAGTGGATCATAAAAGAAGCATAACACATGTAATTATTAAATGATTCTCTGCTGAACAGACTAAATACTGCAATAAACTAACAAGATATTTCACACTTTTTATTTCTTGCAGGAAGTTTTCCAAGGATACAGAAAAGACCATACTTGCTTGAAGACATCAAAAGCTATTCCAGTCCCATCACAGATCATTATTTTAGTTATTTTCTTTTCCTGCATGTCCAAGTAAGAGCATATTCAGAACTGCTACCTGCACTAAGCAAGTTTGTAACTTAGCTCAAGCAGTCACTGCTGCCCCCCTGCTCAGTCCAATTCTGTGAGCTTAGGTATGTCTACATCAGGCATCATAAGGGACTGGAAACAGCTGTTCAGGAACTTTGTTCAGGCTCATTTAATATTTATATTTAGAAGGAATTTCTCAGGATCACTACTCCACTTTTTTTCCCCCCATACATAGACAGCTATTAATTGCATTGTCTTTCCTTCACTCTAGAGAAAAACCAAGTGAAATGTCACAAACTGAAACTCCACAACATGGCTCATAAGAACCAAAGGTCAATCAGTAAATTGGATATCCAAGGCCAAAATAGTTCAGCAGCAGCTTCAGGCCTAAAATTTGTTGGAAAGTCAAATAAAACAGAGAAGAAGGAAACACCTATAAACAAGAGCAGTAAAACCAAACAAGTGGAAATTAAATGCAGACACTGAAGCTGGGGAAGGAGCATCTCCATCTGTGATTTTACTTTCCATTGCTGAACTGCGATGGCTCACCAGGACTCACTCTTCAGACACTAAGCTTTTTCTTGACAAGAAACTATTTTGACATGATAAAATAAAAAAACCCACCAAGTTAACCTGTTAGAGCTTTCTACAGCCCCATTCCTTTAGAATTTATATTTAATAAGAAATTTCTCTTTGCTTTCCTGTTTATAGTTACTTTGCATGATGAAGCATGATGTTCCTGTGTACTTTATTTGATTTTCTTTCTGTGGTTAACATGCTACAGTAAAGAGAATGACATCTAGTCATTAGTTAGCAGATGCTGGAACACATTATGTAGAATATGTTTGTAACCTTTTTACAAGAAAAAAGCTTGCTGAAAGTTGTCCCATGAGAAATCTATGAAACATAAAAGCACTATAAAAATTTAATTAGCACATTGTTGATTTGACTGGAAGTTAAAAATCATTAAAACTGCAGCTTGCATCGACAAATTAGAAATATCTTGCATTGCAAAGCACTGAGGCTGATATCTGAAAACAAAAGTGTTTCTGAAGTTACTAACTGCTATAGACTGTGCAGGACAATGTGCTGTTTATTGAGTGTTTGGCAGAAACCACTGCTGAAACAACTAAAATTGAACCATGTGCCAACAAAAAAGCTTTAGTATTCTCCTTAACTGTACAGTTACCTGATAAATTAAGCTTGAGAGCTGATCTTTATATCTGAGGGTGGGAAAACTCTCCACTTACCTGCTGTACAAATTTCTGGTCAATATATCGCTTTGCAATGCTAGGCTGAAAATCTGGGCTCTCCAAAAACCTCAGGAAGAATTCATACACCAGCTATAAACATTGAAAGGAAAATTCTAAAGTTAGTAAGTACACCATAACACAGATCTCAACCCCAACACCACCACAAAGTCAGTGGTTCTATCCACATGCCTATACTGCACAAAAGGAAACCAACACCTAACACAGCACTGTTTAATCATGGCCTCTGCTGGAATTTACTGGGAGTTACTCTAAGTATCAAGAATACAAATTCCCAGAAAAGTCAAAGCTTAATAAATAATCTACTGAAAATATCACTATTAGATGAAGAATAAGCTCTAAGTATTACCCATATTCACATTTCCCACTATATTAAGAATTCATTATGTAGAAATCAGTTGCCAAACAATTTTACCCTCAGTGCTGATAAGTAAGTGCTCTAACATCACATAATTCCTTAAACAGATTAAGAAAAATATGCTGAGTGTTTCTGAAACTATGCTTCAGTTGCAAATTCCAAAAATGGAAAGTCATATTAAAAAGGTGAATGAATATGCAGAAGCCTCAGGTTTCTATATCCTGGACACTCAATTCAAACAGGATCCCCTGCAGATTTATCTTCATAATCTTTTATATTCAGTAGCATGTTATTCATACTGAGTTCGGGTCCTCATTTGCTATGATCCCACAACGCCTACAGATGGAAAAGACAGACAGGAACTAGAGCTATCAAGGGCCTGAGGTAGCAGAGAGGAGGTAGGAAGAAGGCAGAGCAAAACTCCCATATTCTGGGGTTCCTCAGAAGTCCAAGGCACAAACCACTGTACTTCCATAATAATGGCAGGTTTAGAAAACACATACAAGGCATCTCTTAACAAAGACAGAACAGAGCTGAAAGGTGTCTTACATTTAAATACATTCAAGACTACTCATTTTCTCACTGCCTATTTCTTAACTCCATGTTAGTTAAAAAAACCCTCATGAGCAATAATACTAAAAAGCAATTTAGATACATAAAGACATCGCTGACTGGACTTTTATGTAAAACCCACAGAGAGCTGTGGTCATACCCACAGGCACATAATTCAACTATTAACACCATGACTGCTTCTTAAACTGAAAGCCAACACATGAGTAATTCGTAGTTATAATTACAAAGTTCACTTGAGAAAAGTGCTTGACAAGAAGTACTTTTTATCTAGAACATTTGAGATGACAGTTACACACCACCTCGAGGAGGGTGTGCTGCAGCTGTAAAGCAGAAGCTCAGAAACACAAGTCCCCTTTCACTTTTTTATTCCGCCAACAGATTGTAACCAGAGCTTTTCACATCAGCAGCTGACACTGCCACAAATTTCATGTATCAGAACTGTACTGAACCCCAAGCTTCCCTGTACACCCTTAATTTGTCTTCTCGCATATAGACAGAGTAACACACAGTTGCTAAACAGACAACACAGGACAGAATTTTTCAAAGCTTGGTAACAGCCACTCCAATAATATCATTTTAGATATTATCATGCTCCATCCTCTGCCTTAGAGATCAGCCATGGTTGTTTAGTATCTTCAGTGACAGGCAGTGGGATTGAGTGCATCCTCAGCAATCTGCAGGAGTTGAGCAGGGTGACTGACACGCCTGAGGGACCTGGAGAAGCTTGAGAAGTGGGCCCGTATGAACCTCATGAGGTTTAACAAGGCCAAGTGCAAGGTCCTGAGCCTGGGTCAGGCAAGCCCTGGTATCAATACACACTGGGGGATGATGTGATTGAGAGTAGCTCTGTGGAGAAGGATTTGGGGGTACTGGTGGATGAAAAGTTGGACAGCCAGCAATGTGCACTCACAGCCCAGAAGTCCAAAGAGATCCTGGACTGCATCAAAAGAAAACATGACTAGCAGGTCAATGGAGGCAATTCCACTGCTCCACTCTGGTGATATCCCACCTGGACACTATGTCCAGCTCTAGAGTCCTCAGCACAAGAAGAACACAAGCCTGCTGGAGCAGGCCTATAGGAGGGCCACAAAAATTAGAGGGCTGGAATACCTCTGCTATGAATAAAGGCAGAGAGAGTTGGGGTTGTTCTGCCTGGAGAAGAGAAGACTCCAGGGATACCTTTTTGAAGCCCTTCAGTAGCTAAAGGGGGTTTATAAGATCCCCTTGTAAGGGGATCCTTTGTAAGGGGAGACAGACTTTTTAGCAGGGCCTGTAGTGAAAGGACAAAGGGTAATGGTTTTTAACTAAAAGAGGGTAGACTCAGACTAGATATAAGGAACAAGTTTTTTTACAATGAGGGTGGCAAAACACTAGCACAGGTTGCCCAGAGAGATGACAGATGCCCCATCCCTGGAAACATTCAAGTTCAGGCTGAACAGGGCTCTGAGCAACCTGATGTAGTTAAAAATGGCCCTGCTCACTGCAGGGGGGTTGGACTAGATGATCCTTAAAGGTCCCTTCCAACTCAAAACAGTCTATGATTCTACTGATCTTTTTCAAGCTAGAAAGCAGATAGATTCATGAGTAGTTTGTATTGAAATGGGAAACATATAGCTGAAGGGAGTTTATTAGCACAGCTAATTAATTAATCAAAGGGATTAATTTTGGAATTAAATTTCGTTAAATATTTCTGTAATAAATTCCCATATTATGTATTTTTGTCAGTGACTACAACAAAGAATGGTCAAGTGTGGTAACTGCTTAGGCAATCCCACAATATTGGAGGCTACCACCAGGGGAAAAAAAAAAGTATAGCAGGTTATCAGTAAGAAAGGAAAAGTTAATCCTGAAGCCTGCAGTAATAAATACAGGGTGAAACTCAAGGATTGCAAAGTCACAGTAAGATATCAAAAAAAAAAAAAAAAAAATCTGCTAAGTATTGACAAGCCTTTAAGCTGAGAAAGCATTAACCATAGAAGGACTAAGATTCATCTACACAACAAAGCCACAAAAGCTGCAGATGAAATCCTAGGATATTCCAGGACGATACAGACAGTATATATATATATTGTCATGGGACAGAGCATCTTGTACTAGTGACGACTAAATTTGCATGTTTTGGTTTCCCTGAAGGGCAGCAGGAGGGAGGAAGGACAATTATGGTTTCTGACGTGCAGAAACAAAGGTTCTAACTCTGGGAGGTTTATAAAGCAGGTATGCTTATTATGGGTTATGGCAGGGGGGGCAAGGGGGATAACCC